AAATATTCATCCAAGTAAAAGAAAATGTTTAAAGCGGCAGGACAGATTGAAGATAGTTAACACATAAATATCCATAGGACAATTTATATAAAATATCCTTGGTTACCTTGACATGCATCATATCAACAATTAACTGCTACTATGATTTTCACATATAGAACTTCGAAAATTTTATTCCATTCATGTGATATAAAAGATGTAATATTAATATGTGCTTATGCAATACAGGTGTAGTACGAAGTTGTGTGCATATGAGATTTTAAAGGAATGACAAGTATAAGATAATCATACCTTCTTACATTTCATTACTTACCATATGTAGTTTCTCTTTACATTTAACCATGTGATGATATGTATGGCTTCTAATTGTAATCTTTCCGGATGTAGAATTTTTTTTTGTAGATATATATATATATATATACAATTAGTTAGAGACTCGTGCTGATAACGTGTTATGAAATAAAAGCAATTTAGTAAAGCATGAACAAGAAATAAAAGCAACTTAGTAAAACATGAACAAGAATAGAGATAGAGAGAAGGAAGAGATTTTCTTCTTCAATTGTGTGTATTTTCCTATCTATTACAAGACCTTTATATAGGCATGAAAAGTGAAGAAAATATGTCATGGAATATGTCATTGAACATAGAAAATATGTCATTGAATATGTCATTAACCATTTGAGAGAAAGATCATGGAGGAAGAGTAGACATCCACCATATTTTGATTTTTATGATAACAAGATTTAACTTTTAAGTACATGATTTAAACATCTTTATTTCCTACCCAATTTATGCCCTTGTTTGCCTACCTTCTAGGAACAAATTGCAAACCCGAAATTTTTGGATATTGCACCTCTAAAGAAAAGACTAAGGCAAGTGACACCAATCTTGTTTTTTTTGGTCCAGATCAGAATCCACTTTCCTTTGCAAAAATGCAGATTTATGAAGTCCTTTGATATTTCCTTAAATTAGATTGCAATAACAGTTGCTAAGAAGAAGTATTTGGACCCTGAAAAACAACCTTTATCATTTTCATTAAATTAGAGAGGAGGAACAACTGATCAACACTTTTTTTTTCCTACCAACGAAATCACACACTTACAGAACTTCAAAAGGATATAAAAAATATAATTAGTTATAGAAACATAAATCTAAAGTTTCTATTTCTCATATCCCTAATTTCATCTTCAGTTGTCACTTGAATAGATCTAAAGTATGTGTCAGCTAATATATTTCGATGTCAAAGAGAACTATGTCAGCTTCCCTACAATTTTATAAATTACGAAGTTGTTCGGCAGGCAATGAAGCTAATTGCAATTGAAAAATAAGAAATTGTACCATAGGAAGAATCTAAGCTACAGAAATTGGAGGAAGCAATGTAACTTGAGATCATTTCTGTAACACTGTACAAAGGAAATAAAAAAATGTATTTTCTGCTTTTGCTAAATTTCCAAGGAGTTGAACAAAAAGTGAAGAAATAAAAGTAGAAAAGCGAAAAAGAGCAATTATTTATTATGAACAAAAACAACAGAACGCAAGACTAATATAGCGTTCCTGAAAAAGCAGGCATGCCAATCGCATATGACATTTCCCTGCATATAAAAAAACAAGAGGTTACCTCTACAAAAAAAAAAAAAAAAAAAAAAAAAAAAAAAAAAAAAAAAACATATAAACAATATTTTAATGTGTATTTAAAATTGTTAATTATCAGATTACTAAATGCCCATTATACTATTTTATTCTTTTGTTATCAATAAGTGTAGCTAATTCAATTAGCTTAAATTGGTGGATGAAAAGGAAATAATAAACGCTTTATCTTATGCGATCGAAAGTTGATAAATACTTCCACAGATTCGCCTTCTGATACGATTTATAAAAACATTTTATGATGCAAATCACATTTTGTTTTCCAAGTTTCTCAAATCACCAGTTATATTCAGCAAAACAAATATATAAAAAGCTCTTTATAAACTAGTATATATTCAATTTATATGTCTAATTTTCTTTTTTAAACCATTCCAAAAAAAAAATATTTATTTTTATAAGTCTTCATTTCAACAATATTCTCATTCTCATCAATGATATTCACTTGTGATATGGCATGCTTAAATTTACAAAATTGAAAGGATTTTGATATACTACAAGATTTAAAGTTTTTTTTTTTTTTTTCGCATCTAAAATTCTGTGTGGAATCAAAATAAAACACATACTCCTATAATAAAATGGAGGAATGGGGAAGATGAAAGGAGACTTACAAAAAAACTAGAGAAAAAGAAAAAGAGAAAAAAGACGGAGCAAGTTGATACCAGTAACTCATGCCGTGCTTCTTCGGTGCTCGACCTTTTGCCGCTGATTTGACGCCTACTTTTGAGGCTACTTTAATGCCGGGAATTCTAACATTCTTTTGATTGTAACTATAACGATCAACGGCGGTAATCGTTTTGTCTTCGGAGATGACGTGGAGCACCGGTTTCCAATTCCCTCTGTTCTTCACTTTCCTTTTCCAAGAAGGTGCACTTTGCGTCGCAACAGAGCGATTTAGCTCCGGTTCTTTCTCTTTCTCCTCCGGCTGTAGCCCTTCCACCGCCTTTGTAACGGTGGCGCCGCCAAAACACGTTCTCAGTTCCGATAGAAACTTCATATGTATTACAGGATGTGTGTAGTATATATATACAGTTGTGTATTCTGAAAATATGACGCCCAACTGTAGAAAGTGACGGATTTGGACATAAACGGGATAAGGAACTAATGAGTGATGACGTGGATTTTGGATTTGGATAATTGCTGATCCCATAAATATTTTGGTAAGGGATAATTAAGATTTCTGGTATTTTAGTTATTAGCAGATCTAATTCTATCTAATAACTGACTAAACATATTCAAAGTTTAATACTTCTTCGATTTTGATCCATCAAAAACTTCTTTTAAGGTAGCGAGATAGTTACGGTACGGTAAAAGATAAATTATCTGATTCCACAATCAGGTAAAAGTAATATGAGATAAAAGCACACGTGATGGCGTAATGATATACACGCGTATAAAGAGCGTGAATTGACAATTTAAAGTTTTAAAAAAAGCTAAAACAGAATTACTAATGCAATAATTCTCCAAAAGCTCTTTTTGAAGAACCAATCCAAATATACACAACTTATCTTCAAAATTATTTTTCAGTACTTTTCTTTTAGCACATTAATTATCTAAAAATTATATTAGTGAGCAACTAAGTGTGGAATAGAGCTTAGATGTTGGGATCCGTCCAAATTTTACCCAATTTGTTTATTTGTCACATCTTTATTTGAACGTCAGATGAGATGTTGGCTGATTTTGTTCTTTGAGTTTCTATGTACGATTATGTGGTTCTTTGCTTCTAGATTTTTTCTACTTCTGACAAGTTTTATTGATTTCATTTTTACCACAAAAAAGGGCAAAAACTTGCGTGGAAAAATAATTTTATTATCTTAGGTGCTATTCTTAATTTTCTTTTTCCGTAATCCATTATTGTCTTAATTATGTTTTGGTTATTATATGGAATTCGAATCTAAGTTCCTGCATTTTACAATGTCTGTCAGTGCATTGATTAAGAGCAAGTGTGCCAGCTTCAATGCTTGGGTTTGAGTCTCCTTACGCACATGTTGTTTAGTGTACGATAGAAACTTTAGCTATATGTAGAATTTGGACCGATAGAGGTAAAGAATATAATACCATGAAAAATATGTAGTTAAGAAAGGCTTGTAGTCTAGATAGAATTCCTATAGAGGTTTGAAAGAGTGTCTTGAGAAGGTTGGAGTAGTATGACTTACTAAGCTATTTAATGTCATACTAAGAAGTAGTAGGATGCCCGAAGAGTAGAGGAAAAATATTCTTATTTTAATCTTCAAAAATAAATAAAGGAGATATTCAAAGTTATGTGAACTATCGTCACATTAAACTCATGAGTCATACAATAGAACTATGAGAAAGAGTGATAGAGTGTAGACTTGAAAACATGACAAGAATGGCAAAGAATTGTCACGACCTAGAATTCCCACCTTCGGGACCGTAATGATGCCTAATATTTCACTTGCTAGGCAAGCCAACGTTAGAGAAATTCTTAAGCCAGTTTTTAAACAATTCAAATAAGTGAAACCAATTAAACTGAAATGAAACTAAAACGAAGTACGAAGTGGTATAATAACCAATAATATCTAAGTACAACCCGGATCTGGAGTCACAAGTACACAAGTTTTTCTAAAAGTTCTACAAATAAAGTCTGAAATAAGTACAACTGTCTTGAATGAAATGAACAGTAACTAAGGAAAGAGGAAGGGGACTTCAAGGTCTGCGGATGCCAGCAGATCTACCTCGAGTCTCCAAGTATGCCAATCCGAGCTGATGCATCTCACGTACAGCTAGGACCAATACCAAAATCTGCAAAAGAAGTGTAGAGTGTAGTATGAGTACAACCGACCCAATATACTCCATAAGTATCGATCCTAACCTCGACGAGGTAGTGACGAGGCTATGACAGGACACTCACGTAATTTAACCTGTACGAACGAAGATATATGTGCAACATAGTAACAAATAAAGAATAAATATATAAAATTAGGAGGGGACATGCAATCGAGGAACAAGGTACGATAATTACAACAGGAATGACAACATAAGACACTCAAATAACTCCTCAGCCAATAAAAACGAATAAACATAATGAATAAAGATGGCACGACATCATCCATTGTGCATTTACTCTCAACCTCACCATAAAATAATAATAATGGCACGACATCCCCAAAACCTATACTCATTCGTGTTTCATTTGTGCGTTTACAACATCATCCTTCGTGCTTTTGCTCTCAATCTCTCCATGAAATACCAAAATACGGCACGACATCACCCTTCGTGCTTTAACTCTCTTTCTCACCATGTATTAATCAGTTAATGAAACAAATAACGGTACGACATCACCCTTCATGCTTTAACACTCTCCCTTACCATGTGGTAATGAATATAAAAATAAACAAGAATAAACCTTCGGTCAATAATGGTTCCGAGATACCAATCCTTGATTTCAAAGAAATACTCAACCATCACAATTTAATTCATAAATGCGGAAAGAACGATCAAATGAGGAATGAACTAATCTAAGCATGAATATTATAAGTAAAGAAGGCAATAAATTACAAGAAACAAGTCTCATCCGCATGCTTTAACCCAACCACAATGCATAAGTACTCGTCACCTCACATATACGTTATACCCAAATATTTAAACACGTAGCAAATAGACAAACAAGCCCTAATTCCTCAAGTCAAGGTTAACCACGACACTTACCTCACTCCACAGTCAACTCAGAGCTCTACCGGGGCCTTTCCTCTAGAATCCGCCTCCAAACTTCTCGTATCTAACCATAATCGATTCCATAACGTCAAATAATGCTAAGGGAATCAACTACAATACATAAAGATAGGATTTTTACACTTTTCCCAAAAATTCAACCCCAGGCTCACTTGGTCAAAACTCGAGGTTCGGATCAAAACCTATTTATCCATTCATCTTCGAGCCCGATTATGTAATTAGTTTCGAAATTCGACCCCAAATTGAGGTCTAAATCCCGAATTTGCGGAAACTCCCAATTCTTCCTAAATCCCTAGTTTTCTACCATGGAAGAACAATGATTAAGGCTACAAATTAATGGGTGATATTAGAAATGGAAGAAAATAAGTTAAAGTCTACAAACCTATGAATTGGCGATGAGTTTTCCCTTCAAAATCTCCTCTAGGCCGAGCTCTAATGGAAGGTTTATAAAAAATGGGAGAAATACCGTCTTTGAAACTTCCAAATCACTGGGCTTTAGGTGTTCATCGCGTTCACGAAACACCAGACGCGTTTGCGAAGGGCACTGCTCAGATGGCTTATGCGATCGTGAATTAATCTATGCGTTCGCGTAGTCTTAGCCCCCTAGCCTTCGCATTCGCGAGCCTGGGCTCGCGTTCGCATAGAGTAAGTTCATTTCCCATCCCCCGCCTATCTAACACTATGCGTTCGCGATTGAGTGGTCGTGTTCGCGAAGAGCAGATCCCCCACTGCTCCGCATTCGTGACCGTTCTCACATTCATAATGAATGAAATCTTCCCTAGTCCCAGATTTCCCTTCACGACCGTGAAGCACATGACACCAGATACAACAGAAGCTCAAGAAACTAGAAATTTTCTATGTCTGAAACACCCGTAGCCTATCCGAAACTCACCTGAGCCCTCGGGATTTCAAATCAAGTACGCACATAAGTCCAAATATATTATATGAACTTGCTCGCATGATCAAAATATGAGAATAACACCTAAAACTACGAATCGGACACCAAAATGAATGAAATTTTTAATAAAACTTAAGAACTTTCATTTTTAACTACCGGACGTCCGAACCACGTCAAATCACTTCCGTTTTGCACCAAATTTTGTAGACAAGTCATGAATACCGTAATGGACCTATACCAAGTTTCGAAACCAAAATCCGAATCCGGTATCAACAAGGTCAAACATTGGTCAAATTTATAAATTCTTTAAACCTTTAAACTTCAAATTTTCAATAAATTGCGATAACTCGAGCTAGGGACCTCCAAATTCGATTATGGGCATATGCCCGAGTCCCAAATCACGATGCGGGCCCTCGAGGACCGTCAAAACATGAATTTGGATCTGTTTTCTCAAAATATTGACCGAAGTCAACTCAAATAAATTTTTAAGGCACAAATTCACTTTTTAATCAATTTTCACATAAGAGCTTCCGAAAAAGACACGGACTGTGTACGCAAACCGATAAAGGCTAAAATGAGCTATTTGGGGTTTCGAAAAACATAATTAAAGGCTAACACTTTAGATGACCCATCGAGTCATCACATTATTCGCCTCTAAAAGAAACGTTCATCCTCGAACGGACATAGAAAAGTACCTAGACTAGTAAAAAGGTGAGGATATCTACTCCGCATGTCGGACTCGGACTCCCAAGTGGCTGCCTCGACCTGGTGACCTCTCTACTGCACTCGAACTCAATGATAACTCTTAGACCTCAATTGTCGGACCTGTCGGGCTAGAATAGCCACTGGCTCCTCCTCGTAAGTCAAATCCTTATCCAATTGAACTGAGCTGAAATCTAACACATGGGACGGATCATCGTGATACTTCCGTAGCATGGACACATGGAACACCGAACGGACTGCTGATAAACTAGGTGGTAATGCGAGCTTGTATGCCACCTCACCCCCTCTCTGAAGAATCTCAAAGGGTCCGATATACCTAAGGCTCAACTTGCCGTTCTTCCCAAACCTCATCACACCCTTCATGGGTGAAACCTAGAGCAATACCCTCTCTCTAACCATGAATGCAACATCATGAACTCTACGATCAATATAACTCTTCTGCCTAGACTGAGCTGTGCGAAGTCGATCCTGAATAATCTCGACCTTATCCAAGGCAACCTCTACCAAGTCTGTACTCAACAACCGAGCCTCCCCGACTCGAACTATCCAACTGGCGAACGACACCACCTCCCGTATAATTCCTCATAGCAAGCCATGTAAATGCTCGACTGGTAGCAGTTGTTATAGGCGAACTCTGCAAGTGGCAAGAACTGGTCCCAAGAACCCCCGAAATCCATAACACAAGCATGAAGCATGTCCTCCAATATCTGAATAGTGCGCTCGACTCACTACTAAAAAACGGCCCATTTTTTATCGAAATTTCCGACGGAAAATTGTAGTCAGAAGTTTCCGACGGAATCGGTCGGAATATGCATAAAAATATTATTTATAATTTTTAATAATACTTATGACTAATATTTCATCTATGTTCGTCGTAAATTTTGGTGGAAAATTTCGCGCCACTTGTAGCGACTAATTCAGTCAGAAAAAATTAAAAAAAAAAAAAGAAATAAAAAAAATAGCAACCGATTCGGTCGAAAATGTTTAGTAAAACGAGGTTGACTACTTTTGACCAAATTACCGATCGAATCGGTTGGAGAGTTTTTTAAAAAAACCTCAACGACTTCCTTTCTTTTCCTTTTCCTCTTTTCTTCCTTCTCTCTTCTCTTTCTCTCACTTAAACTTCCCCTTACCTAAACCCGCCACTTCCTTCAACGAGCAGCACTCGCCAGCGCCGCTGCAAGTCTGTCGAGATCCTCCACTGCCAGGTAAGTTCCC